ACTTAATAAGTATTAAAGTACCCAAAAGCTGGTTATATTCAATTTATTTTCTAGAATAATGCGAATGATAAAAATTCTATAAGTATTTTTTAGAACCGAGAAACTCACTTGTTTCGTAAGAGCTTGAGAAAATCATATATAGGCGGTTCGATCCATTTTTCTGTTTAACACGTCGATATCCCTTTCTATTTTCTCGACAAATCCGCTTAAACAGAATGAAATTAAACCCTTTTATCCACAGATCCCCCTCTCTTTGAAGTCGCCATTTTGGGTAAGCGGAAGTCGCTTTCTTCGTGCGTTCCGACTCATTTTCCATCCACTCAATGGTCCATTCACGTAGCCACACAGGCGTATGCGCTGCGATGTCGCAAAGAATCGAAAAATAAATACAGCACCGCTAGCGCTTGCACTGCATATTTAGGCCATCTCTCCCTTTCTTTCGACACCACATGTTAGCTGCATTGTAGAGTAATTCATCCGATATGCGCATATGCACGATTATATGCAGTGCAGTCGCGCTTACTTAGAGACTCGCCAAAGTATGGGTGCTGGTCCGGGAGCGTGGGGATGGGGAATGGAGAGGTGAAAATCGTTGCCGCGACTACATCGCCATAAGCGAGATGAAACTCAGGAAGTAATCATGGAGACAATATGGAATTTGTGGTTGAAATTCCAGTCGACATTGCGGTACGGCATCTGTATTAGTATGTCTTAGGATTTGCGTATTAGTACATTTTACATGGTGAATCGCTGCATAATCTGGAATAGCGTAATTCATCTATTATCTATCTCTAATAAAATCACCATAATTTATTTATTTAACAATATAGAATAATTATATAACATGGTAATTCATTTTAGTATTATACAAATGCGAATAATTTTAAATAGCCTATGTAGTAGCTATTGATTTTATTTTTGCATTTACGCATTTACGCACTCTTATTTACGATAACCTTAATTTTTCATTTTAAACTAATTTTGTTTATCGTATCGGATTAGACTTTCAAAAATATCAAGTTTCATTATCAACGAATTTGCAAATACATCTTTTGGAATTACAATTAATGTAATGCGACTTAAGAAATAATAACGTGGAGATATTATCAAATGCTAAACTATAATATACTGGACTTTAAGATATTATATTTTAAACTCAAGTATTGAAGTATCAGTTTCTTGGAAAGATCATTTACAATACACAAGTACTCTCCAGTACTAGATTTACCAGTATTCGTAGCCGCATTAACTTTATATTGTTGTGTAAAGATAAAATCTACATGGTAATGAAATCAAGATATCACATATTTGGATTAATCTTAATAATGAAAAGATCGATCGCGGCCTTACCGTGGCCTTTGGAAAATCCGCAGAGACGCGTCGCTGGAAAGATTAAATTACACTGTATTCAAGGTCGAACGAACCCCAGCGCCACGTGTCATATTACAGCAATTCAGACGCAAACGAAACTTGCCTAATATCGATACACTTAACGCATAAAACAATGCATACAGCCCTCAACAGTTCTTACTTTAAGCTTTTTTTTTTATATTGTCTCTAATATTGAAAATATTTACGCTTGAATGTTGAAAAATTTAAAAACAACAGTAGTTCAGCCGTAGTCAATAAAGACCGAATAATACGGGAAATTTTATTTTATTTTTTTTATTTTTTTTTTTTATTAAATTTGTGTAAATTGTATAAAAAAATCATATAAATATACGTGAACGATATTATAATTTGAGTATAAAATAGTTTGAGAATTTCATGAAAATGAAAAACCTTACAAGACAACTCGCATTTCGATATATTTGAAATAAGAAAAACTATCGACTAATACAAGAAAAACATTTATATATATATTTTTATGAAATATTCGATATCCAATACACGTAAATAACTCAAAGTAAAATATTACATTCTCCGAGCATTTTTCATTGAAAGTTGATATTTATATTATTGATGTATAATTTTTACAGACTGTATTTAATAATAACTTTTATTAATGGGACTTTAATATCGAAATAACATTAATAATAATATAAGCTATAATAGAAAAAATTGCAGATACTACAAAAATTGATATTATCAAAAATCATAGTAAATTTTAAATTATGAAATATGAATTATTTTTTGGAATTAGAATATTTTTGTCCAATTGTAGTTAAGGTTCATTTTTTCTAGGTAGTTTGCAAATAATAAATAAAAAATAATGAAAAAGTGATTAAAAATTTAATTACATGCATTTTAATTACAATTTTTTAATAATATATAATATTTCATTCAATCTATAACAAATAGCTGATGAATCTTATTAAATTTGAAAATTAGACTTTAATTGTATTAATTTTATACTGGATTTTAAAGAATTTGTTGGCATACATAAGCAGATTATTTTTAAAATAAGAAGTATTATTTATAGAGATGTAAATCTCGTTAATAAAATAATCTTATTAAGTTCACAATAAATAAATGTTTAAGGATTTATGGATATAATTGAAATTATCATAAATATAATATATTAATAATAAATTTTTTTAAATTAATAGAAATTTTAATTTTTTTGTATTCCAAGATATTTTATATATTTATAATAAAAAATAAAATGTCTTGAATAAATATAAAAATATAGTATCTTGATCGCAAATAAATGAATGAACAATAATATATTCTTTTCCTTATCAATAGAATATTACGAATAAATTAAAACACTATTGTTAACTTTAACTAGAGTATAATAAAAAATTAATTTAATATTCAAGATCTATCATTCGTTTTTATCATTATCGTCGTTACGATAATCATTAATGATTATCTATATATTTTTATTTGATAACTCTTCTTGATAGAATATTATTCTCATACAGCATTAATAATACCTATATAAACGTTAAAATTAATAAAATTTTAACTAATAACATAATCTATTATTATATCTATACATTATCATATATATTAACAAGTCATATATATAAAAAAAATTATTATTTTGAATTATTATTTTTTCCTTATTAGTTAAAAGATATTTCAATCAATACTTGGGATATAACATATTATTACTTTGTGTTGAATTTTTATTCACTGTATTGTACTATGTTGAGATATAAGTGCAAAGTTATGAAGTACATACTAACAAAATATTGCCTACCCCTATAGTTTATTTTATTATGCAAGAATACTACTTTTTCATTTAGTTAAAATTTCCATATACAATATAAACCTTCTGTTTATAAATTTAACGAAGGAATATTATTTTAAGATCATTACTGTTGGCACTCTGTAAAATATCTATAATTATATTTTAGTTAATAATGCATTTATAATCCCTTAAATATAATCGTCATTACATTCGAAGATGAAATTTAATTTTCCTAAGATACATACATTATTATCTATTTAAATAAATTTAAATATATACATGAATAATAGTGTAGTAAATATCTTTGTAAATATCTTATTCTGAATAATATTTCGACTAAAATATAAATATTTTTTATTATCTTAATCAAGAACTAAATTAAAATTGAAGTCTACTACAATTACTTTTTTAATCAGTTTAGCTCAATTAATATGAACGCATACAAAATATAATTGTTTGCATTATTCATAATATTACATTTTATAAAGTAAACAAGTATTATATTAAAAACATATTGTGTTAAAAATAGTTTAAAATATTAAGGAAATTTTATCAGTTCGAATTGTAATTAGCTAAATAATAGACACGACTGAATGTTTTCTTTGGCATACAAAATAAATTCACTTTCATTAATCGGAAATTTCACTCGTGATATTTAAAATAAATATAAATCCTTCCTCCTACCTCTCTGGTATGAAAAAAAAACTGGCCTTTCGTGTATAGATAATAGTAGTCTGTACGGAGACCTGAAATCCGTGTTTCAGGCATATGTAAGCGTCTTTGCAAAAAATGCGCGCAACGTTAATGTTTAATAATTCATTGCATCGCAAAAATTAAGAGCTGCTGCTTTTGAATGTAAGCGAAAGGACGAGTAATTCGATGGCAGATAGTGTAACTTCATGAACCTGATATGTGCAGCCAATGCCATTCATAATACATTATAAATGTCAGCCAGCGTCGTTAGGATTGCATTGCGGGTGCGGTAGTTCGGAGCCTGATACAGCTCCAGGACTTTGTGCGCTGGCAGAGTCGCCACAGCCGGCTGAAACTATTATGGATACCTATTGCGAGTTATTTTTTATTATTTATCGATATTTAGTTAGGTTTATTATAAATTGATTCCATATTGTATTTGGCTCCAAGCGATTGTAGAGCAACTTCGTTCAACTACGATATATGAGAGAGACTTTGCTCTCCTCTTTAAGAAACTCAGATTGAAAATTAGAGAATAAGATCATAGATATTAGATTATAAGATCTAAATATAAATGATTTAATATAAAAGTATTAAGATAAATGTCACTGTGCCTTTTCTATTGTCAATTTATGTCGATGGAATCATGACTTTTTTTAAAAAAAATACAATCATTAATATGTATTTCATATTTATCATTTGCTTAAAATTTAAATTAAAGTAATAAAAAAATTGTATAAACAATGAAAGAAAAAAAAAGAAAAAAATATGATGGAAAATAATCATTACTTAGTGTGTAAGATCTTTCTTAGACAAATATAGTTTACATCAATTATAATCAAATTATATAAGTTACAGTGCTTTGTTCATTCGCTTTTTAACATATTATTCTCAAAAGGAAACCACATAATTATCTTGGCATTTGGTTTGCTCGATTTATTTATTAATCATACCTCAAACTAGAATAAAAAAATACTTCATTCAAGTAGTCTAATAATGTCAAAATGTTTTATCTTTTTGTTGTAATAGAGATTGAATTCTTAATAATAGTCCTTTATTATCCCATAACGTGATATTATTAATGATCTCTCTCGGTAATTATTCTGTATTATTGACTGTAGGATGGTCCCTTTAATTAGAATAATAAAGACGCAACAACGACTAAACTCTCGACATTATTAGGTCGCCACTGTCCGGCGTGGATGGGGAAACGAAGGTGGAGCGCACATCGTACTACCCCCAGGAGCCGGAGCGCCTGGACAGCACGACCCTCGGAAAGATCATGGTATTCTTAAGACACAACGCTCTCACGATGATGACCGTATCTGGCGTGATCTTCGGCATCGTCCTCGGGCTTATCCTGAAGAGCTCGCGCAACGGCGGCTGGACCGAGCGCGAAATCATGTACATCAATTACATCGGCGAGCTCTTCCTCAGGATGCTCAAGAGCCTTATACTGCCACTTATAATGGCCAGTCTCATCTCAGCAATTGGATCCCTCGACTTTTCTCTGAGCAAAAAGATCGGCAGCAGATCCGTTATTTATTATATGCTCACTACCATCAGTGCCGTTATTCTGGGTATGCAATGCAATTAATTCACCAACGACTATGCAATATAACACTCATCTTGTGAATCGTGTGTATCGAGTAATTTTTATTGGGCTTTTCGAGTGTCCTGTAACAGTACGTTGGACGATGCACTAATTTTGCACATTCACTATTCATTAAAATTTCAAGACTCTTTTATACTGTTCGCATGTATGATATGTCGTGCAACTGTAATCGATGTCTTAAAAGTCCATGTACAAGTATCATAATAATTGTACTTTATACTTATTATATTATAACTATTATTATATAAGATATATTTATTAAATTATTTCAATTTATTCGTGAGATTTATTGAACCGCGAGAATTTACACGTCGTTCAGCTAGAAGAAAAAAATGTAGTGTAGGAATCTCTAGTAAATGTTGAAACATGTAATAGCTATATTAAAGTTTGGAAATCCTATTTAATTCAAAAGTACATATGCATAGAATGGAATTGAAAGGCACTAATCAATCCATTCGGGATATTTAACTTTTGGTGATGTTTTAGTTGATGAAATTCAGAGTACTTTGAGTCTTGTCGTTTTAATGCTTGCTTATCAAGTTTTCTTGAGTAGCAAAGCTGCCAATTCATATTTATTATCGTCAGAACGCGTTCGGTCTTATTCCAAGTTTCCAAGTATTATTCTCAAAATTCACTGTTTCGTTCGTACGAGGGACCTATTACTTCAAGTAATTTTAAAATCATACATTTGATATTTAATCATTAAATTTTCTAATCAAAGTTATTCCGCATTACCTTATTACTTTTAAATAAAATAAGAAGCAGCGTCAATGAGTGATTTTCTTTATTTTTTTTTCTTCTTCTTTTTTAAGCAATGAGCTCGCGCCAATGTATTTGCAAACAAATATAAGTTTAATTTGATAATTTGTAGCAATATAGAAATTATGCAATTTTCAATGTCGGTTGTAATTCTAAACGATTATTCCATTTGTATTATCAAAATTTCTATGTTTTATTTATTTATTTTTTTTATTGCCTCTCTTTTTTTCTAGACACAAAATCAATGGTATTGAATTATATTGTTAACCATAAATATATTGATAACTGTTTAAGAATTCCGTGGCTTTAGATCTTAAAATTAGCTGCAGCCGCATAAGATATAAATGCATATAGTAAAGTATCATCGTCATTTGCTTATAAATTGTTTGAGACTAAAACTATTCGAATGAGCATTATCACAGTATATCATAATATAACCGTATCCATAAGTAATTGATACGTCAATAAAGTTTAATAGCGGTTAATTTCTTCATTCGTTCATTTTAAAACTAGGAATAATCTTGGTGGTGTCAATTCAACCGGGCACAAAGCAGAATCGCGAGCAAACAAACGATCGAGCACCACGAAACGTCACCACTGTTGACACTCTTATGGACTTGATAAGGAACATGTTTCCACCGAACCTTGTTGAAGCTTGTATCGCTCAGCATCAGACAAAGATCGAAATGGGAATCAATAGCACTTTCGGTAAGTTTAGTCCGCTCTGTACTGCTTTTTTAGGACGATCTTGTTGCAGCGCAGTTAAAGTTTTTATAAAAAGGAATCATCACTCCGTACATATATGCATATATATATATATATATATATATATATATTCTTCCTTTATTCCATTTGATTTACAGAACATTATTTTGAATTTTTGGAAAATTAACCAATACGTTCGTCTGTTATTGCAGAGTAAAATTCGTTTGCGCGCTCATTGAATAATTATACTCATTGAAGAAAAATCATTGAAATATTATTTATATCCTTAAAATGTAGGTGACAAATATACGTGGAAAATTATCCCTTCAACCGAGTCTGGAACTAATATTCTTGGCCTCGTTGTATTTTCCACTATACTGGGAATAGCTTTGGGAAAAATGGAGGACAGGGGAAAGCCTCTTCTCAATTTCTTTGAGACTCTATCTACTGCCATGATGATTATCACTAACTGGGTGGTTTGGTACGTATCGGTAAATCCAAAGTTTTTCTTTTCATAAAATAAAGTTTAAAAAGCTATTTTGTTGCTTTTTTCAACTAGGTAGCCAAATTATATAACACACTTTAGTAATATATAATTACATAAAGGTAGTCACTTCATTAATGTGACAGTTGTACGTTAATTAGTCAACATTATTCTCATGTTTTTTTTTATAATAATAATAATAATACCAATAATGATAGTACTAATAATACTAATAATAATAGATTGCGTGTCTTGCATATAATATATTGCCGTGCTAGTTTATAGTCGTTCATTATCTTGTAATTTCCATTATTATGTGACAAAAATCATTCCACCTAAAATCCATCCAGTGAAATAATTATAGGTTTATTCAAATAATTCCATTGAATCCATTACATCTCATTTCAAATGCATAAAAATAAATACATTATAAATCGACAGCTCGTCAACACAATCGCTAACCCAGTAAATTCACCCTTAGGCTGTCTCCGGTCGGCGTCCTGTTCCTCGTCGCCTCGAAGATCGTTGAGATGGAATCGCTGGGCGACGTAATTCAACAGTTGGGCATGTACTTCCTCACGGTAATCCTAGGTCTCTGCATCCACGGCTTTCTCGTGCTGCCCTTAATCTACTTCCTCTTCACTCGCAAGAATCCCTTCGTGTACGTGTCGAATATGGCTCAGGCGATGGCAACCGCGTTCGGCACGTCCTCGAGCTCGGCAACGCTACCCGTGGCGATCGCCTGTCTCGAGGAGCGCAATGGCATCGACCCAAGGGTCACGCGCTTCGTTATGCCCATCGGGGCAACGATCAACATGGACGGCACTGCACTGTATGAGGCCGTGGCCGCCATTTTCATCGCCCAGGTCCGCCATTATACGCTCAGCTTCGGGCAATTAGCTGCCATAAGGTATGATAATCCATTATCCATGAAATGCGTACGTTTACGATTGAGCGATGTTCGTTAAAATATTCATTACGATATCGCACAAGTCCCGCAATTTCTAATAATTGTATTCTAACAATCGTTTTATTTCTATTAAATATTAAAGCAACTATTGGCGTACATAATAATGATTCTCAAGAATTAATTGCGAGTAGTTAAACGATTCTTAAGAATTAAAGGTGCATATGGAAGGTATTGATTTTATTGCATGCATTTTATTTTGATCAATAATTTTACAAAGTGAATAGTTACTGGTATATTACCTAATTATAATATTAAAAAGATATGATATCTAAATAAGGAGTTTGGAGTAAATGCGTTACGGATAGGTTTTTATAAACTCTCCTTAAATTAGAGTTTGGGAGTACATGATATTTTAATTTTATGTAATATTTAACATTTTACGTAATATTATTATTAACCTGTCATTTTTAATCCTGAATGATCGATTTTTAATTGACTAATGCTATGTAAAAACAACCTTACAAAGAATTTAATCCAACATATTAAGGCATAGGGATAATGAAAGGTCACATTATTTATAATGCAAGTGCTGTTCGTCTCAATTAATAATTACACTATCTACAATAATATAATATTATATAATAATAATCGGATGAGATTGAGCAAAGATTTAAATGTGTTGTAAATGATAAATGTATAATTATCAATTTATATGATACAATATGGCAAAATTTTTTTAACAATTACCTCACAAACTGATAACAATAGGGCCTTTTGATACAATAAGGGGGGTATAATGAAATACGATTGGCCTTTACATTAAATAGTTATACATATATAATACACGAGTTAATTGAATGTTATTGTATCCCCTTGATTGCACCGAAAGACCTAATTACAACAACAACAACAACAAAATACTACTCAAAGCAACATGTAAACAGATGCGCGCGCGACTTGAAATGCTACGTCAACTTTTATCCATATAATATTATTGTAATAGTTTTACCGACTTAATCGCCACATTATAAGTCAGAAGTTAACGTTTGCGAATTATAAGTAATCTTTCGTTTTTTTTAACATAACAAAACAATACAATACAAAAAAAAAACAGAACAAAAAGAACAAAGAACAAAAATTAATAAATAAAAGATAAAAGAGCACGCAACGATTATTAAAAATAGTCTAATTGAAATCATGGTGGACTGAAATGTTTTACAGCATCACGGCAACGGCTGCCAGCATCGGAGCAGCTGGAATTCCTCAAGCAGGTTTAGTTACAATGGTCATGGTACTGGATACCGTGGGCCTTCCATCTGGCGATATTTCTTTAATCCTTGCTATCGATTGGCTTTTGTAAGTGTGCATCTATAAAATTTACGCTGTTAACTTTATTTACCTTAAGCAATATGTGTAATTGTCTAATATTTATAATTATCTTTAAATATCGATTATGGATAATTTTCGACCTTTTTATAATCACTTTAAAGACCAAATTGAATTCTAATTGAATTTTCAATCTATCACTTCTATTTTTTTGTAATATTTCACTAGCCAAGGGATTTGGATCGTAAGTACACGTCATTGTAAGCAAATGCATCTATCGGTAATGGCGCGTCTACGTATATTTATTGCTTTAAGCGTCGACTTATTATTAGAGTAAAATTTTGCCGATTATTGTCGTATCAGTGACGTTTCTAAAAGTTGTAAGAGAAACGATTCAAACCGAACGGTTGAACACAGAAGGACGCGGATCCTTCTCGCGAAGCACTCGAATCTCCGACAGTTAATAATCACTATGAAACGTTTTGCAGGGACCGCTGCAGGACGACCGTGAATGTGGTGGGCGACTCGCTGGGCGCGGGTATCGTTAATCATCTGAGCAGGAACGAACTGGCGGCCCTGCCACACCACACTAGCCAGAGCCAAAACGGTGCTGGAGGCGGTGGGGCCGGCGCCGGGGACAACCATACATCGTCCATTTGAGATGACGTGCCCACGAAGCTGTAAGAAATTTGCGAGTCCACGGCACCGCAGCGGCTGAAATCTCGTCCTGGAGGTTGCGCCTTGTGCAGGGAACACAACGCTGCGACGAGCTTTTACTTAGCGATAAAGGAATTGCGAGCGACCTATATAGCATGGTTATGTTGCAGGATGCGCGGGACGGGCGTCCTTTAATTTACTTTTCCTCTTCCTTTTTGGTCTTTCTTCTTTTTGCAGTAGACGAGACACACGCTCGGGACACTGTAGCGAGAAATCACGCGCTTTCCACTCTACTCTATTGTGAACTTTGAAAAATGTTTATCCGTAGATGTACGAACCCTATGAAGCTTTTTACGTTATTTATGTTGCCAAGAGGTCCTTACCTCGGAATGCCTAATACGGCTGGACCGAGTGTATTGCAAATACGCTTGCAGATAGTTGCTTGTTTAATCCAGCAGCACATATATCGTGAATTGAGATTTGTAGACGGATAACAGTGTAGAAATATACAGGTCGAATAATTATGTTATACAATGTTCTAGTCGGACAAACGATGCCTAATGTAAAACATAGTTATTAATTTATTATGTTAAATTTGTATGTATATTATTATCTTATTATCGGCCGTAATTTAATGAGTGTGAGAGGAGATAATTATTTTTTCACTCGTATGTCAAGGAATTTTTAATATTTGTCTTAATATTTGATGAAGGTTAAAGTCATACTTTTGTTCGTTTATCTAACAATAACAAAATTAGCAATTAACATTGCAAGGTAAATTTTTGTTTGTGACAATTAGTTGATATGCAGGCATAGGTTTGTTTCATATTTCAATAATTTAATGTTTAAATAATTGAATAAGATTATTCGATTCAAGGAAAGCTTCTTTGCTAAGTAATATACGTACGTGTAACAATAAAGTATTAGAAAATTGTGAAAAGTGAAAATCTTCTTTTCAACTCTCATTGGTTGTGAATGCTTTGATTTACAACTTTATTGTATTTTCAAATATTATGAGAAGAAAGTGACAAAGAATCCATATTTTCCTTTTAATCAAATAATAATTCGAGTATCGTACTAATGCACCGCCTAAGTGTTCTAGGCTATATATTATTGATTATATATTTTCCATTATATAATATATTTATAAATATACTTATAAAATAATTATAATTTATAATATAATATAATTTATAATAAAATTATAAAATACTTATAAAGTATATTTTATTTATTAGTGCTAATTGCGTACAAGTTTATGAAACACAAAGTAAAAAGCAAATAATATATAGATTAGTTGCGGAGAAGAGTAAGAAAATTATGCCAGTTCACTGTTAATATTGATTACAGACGAGCGAACGTTACATGTACACACACGCGCGCACCCGTGTTACATGTACTACACTACCTATGTAATACGTGCGATACGCAGCCTGTTAGCATATATATATATATATATATATATATATGTGTGTGTGTGTGCGTGTGCGTGTGCGTGCGCGCGCGCGCGCGTGTGTGTGTGTATGCATACATGCATACGCATGCAGATATATATTAGTAAATTATACAGGTGATTTATTATGCTACTAAATATTTACTCGTTATTTATAGTTTGTGTAATAATTGTGAAACTTAATCGGTGTAGATGATCGCATTTTTGTATAATTATTTTATAGCATTAGAGGAAAGAGATCGCGATCACCAACAATTAAGCAGAAAAATATGTATATTAACGCATGAAATATTCTAAGAAAAATATATAATGTAGGATGCTCTGAATGGAATCGCTAGACGCTTCCAAATTTTCTTTTATATACCATAGATCGATATTTTGTAAGATCGAAAAGCTTCGTATTACTTTGGTGTCTTGACGCTATTCAAATGTAATAATCTCGAAATATTTACGTATAACACAATTTTAACCATAGCGAAAATGTTACCAAGTTGTACTGTTAGACTACTTATTTCCAAATAATTATAAAGTTTATGATAATGCTGGATCATTCGTAAAACATTATGATTTACCTGGTGTAGAAAAAATTATTAGAATGAAATGTAGAAAATATGAGAGCCTATAAAAAGGTATTATACTAAGTTGCCGTTCCCGGTTTCTGAAACCTATTTTTAAATATGTTAATTGTCGTGATACGGACAAAACGAATCTTATAAGAGTTAACAATTGTTAATCCACCAAATCAGTTAATTATTTCATTCATCGAGGGTGTGAAGCAATCGCAAATATGAACCAGTCATGAATTGAGCCAAAACGGACGAGATGCAAGAAGATTAGATAAAATCTTTTTAACTATACATACGACGCTTTATCGAGTATTTCAAACTAAAATATGTACAAAATTTCAACTACATTCTTTATGTAAACGGTCTTTTGAAACTTTGTGTTTACGTAATACAGCATTAGTGTCTATATAAATAAGATAACACTATGTAATATTAACTGTTGTATTTAAAAATGATATAGAATACATTTTTTATTGACAATCGAGTATTGGAAAATACACAAAACAATTTCAGTAATTTAATGAATACAGGCAGAGTAAGATATTTCGTTACACATCATATATAACTTCAGTCAATTTGAATTTTGACAATAGAAAGCTGAACTGAGCACAATCAAACTTGAAAGTATGAGCGAAGATTTTGTCGGATAACATGGTGTTAGTACAATGAAACAAAACAGTATCGGCGACGACGGCATAATTGATAAAATAAATAAATAAAAAATATATAAAAACACTGCGCGTGTAGATATATATTATGAAACAATTGATAGTAAATATATACATGTAACAATGGCATTTAAGCAGAAGAATTCCTATTTCGTAAAATATTCTTGTTGCCTATTTTATGCGTACGGATATATACTTCTTCTTTATTTTTTAATATGAAAAGAAAAATAAACTTTTTTTACCTCTACAGAGCCGTCGTGGAAATTTTTAATAGTGCTCTAGTTGTTCAGTGAAAAAAATTAATTAATTTTATTTCAAGTAATAATCTATAAAACTTCTTACATTTAAAAGTTATTTACTTGAGACAAACGTATTATTAAATATGACAATACATTAGATTGTGCTTCCTATACATTGTTGAGAATTATTGAAAGTAAAAGAATTGTACGCTTTTTATTATTTAATACTCGATTATCTATTCAATTTTACAATATACAGTAGACTATAGAAGTTCGTCTATATGAAATGAATAATTAAATATAAATGAGCATCAACTAAATTAGTGCCAAAATACACATTTTTTAATGATTTAATTTTAATTTAACATTAATTTTACTAAATTTTTTTTTGTTTTTATTTTTTAAATAGTTTATTTTTAGTTTTTAAAGTAGTAGAAGAAACCTATGCAGTTAGAGATTTATGAAAAGTAAGAAGTGCTTCTCATTCATATCCATTTTTTCCAAAGTTTATCGTGTAAAAGTTTTTTTTACTTCATAATTGAAAAAGATAAAGTAAAGCTATGCTTAGCTTTTGTTTAACATTATCGCGAGAGGAAAGTAACGATAAAAATTTAATTCACATTGAATCCAATCTAATGATAATACTTAGGCAATTTAGTTGTTAGTTATCCATTGACAAGATACATTAATATAAGTATAACAAAATTTGCGAATGTTATTACGGTAATTACGTTATTCCAGAAGGATTCTTATCAAGCAAATTAGTTTAACAAAATAATATTATACGATAATTTTGAATCACAACAATTTTATAAAATATGGATCAGACAGTAATAAATAAATTTAAATATTTATTTATATTGATAATAAATCTTAATACTAGGAATAAATAAATAAATATATGTATATATATATATATATTTATTTATTTATTTATTTATTTATTTATTTATTAATTTAAATTATCAAATTTTCATATCGGGAAATATTATTGTAAATTTGTTATAGAAACTAGTGTATGCTAATTATTTCAAATTTGACAAATAATTTTATTAAATTTTGATCATTATAAAATATATTTATGTGTGGTTTTACAAAATTATAATAAAAACAATTTTTAATCAAAATTTACAAACGCAAAATTAAAAAAAGAAATGTTAAAAAGCTTAGATGAAAATAAAAGATAATGTTGAACAAAACTCGACATCTGTGATTATAAAATATACATATAGTTGTCGACTTAAAGTAAAATTACTATTTAATTGACTTTCACTATACTCCTGGAGTAAATTTCTTTTTCTTGTACATTATCCGTAAAGTGTATTTAACGACAATGAAAAATTAAGAATCATTATATCTGGAAAATATACGTAAAATTGTGCCGTTGTTTACGACGAAAATTCTGTATATGGCATAGATTATAATTTAATGCTTAAACTTGACTTATTCGAATTTCATTTTGATCAAATGAAATAATCTAAATTCGAATATTATAATAAATTTAGGTGTTGATGTTAAAGTAATAGTAATAATAATATATCATAGATAATTATAAGATTTTAGACATTCGAGTGTGTAAAGTTCAACTGAATGAACAAACTCAAGACAATACTAGATAATCACAAGAAAACTGCGATCTTAAAATGAAAGTATAAAACCGATAGTATACGCCGTCGAAACAATAATGTATTTCTATAAACAATTTTAAAATCTGCTGCGATGAATTTTCAGCAACATAGCGCTTGTTCGATTTAAATCCTGGAATATTTGATCAGAACGAAATATTGACGCGATAAAGAAAAAACAAAAAAAAAAAATTAATAATAATACAAAATCGCTGTAGAAGTGAAAAGGTTCGTTCGAATCTTTTCTTTTGCATTTTTTAACGTCCTACGTTTTACAGACAATAAACGATGAAGTAATCAAAGTACAAAGATTTTGCTTTATCAGCTTTAGCGGATGCAGAGACTGTTCAACAAATAAGTGCAAATTGGGAAATTCATTCGATTTCTCGTTGACTTATTTAAAGAACAGAGTAGAAAAGCAATATGTTCAAATCTCGGCATATCATTCATAACATACGGAAGAAACTTAAAAGAAAGTATACAGTTTCATTAAGAGTTAGAAACTCGTATTTTTTTGAAATACCGAATTTATTTAGAATTACGAAACCTCGACCAAAAGAACATATGATATAAATTATATTTCGAATCCCTTTATTAAATATACACTAAAGCATTCAAATTAAATAGCTTGAGGAAATATTAAAAATAAATAGCAGAAAAATAATAATAAAGTTGTAGTTTTTTAAGGAAAGTTTTGTTAACATTGTATAAAAATACTTTTGAATTATAATTTTATAAAGTAATTTTTGCCCAAAATTATGTACGTTTATCAACTGATTGAACTTGACGATACAAAAAATATGTATAGAAATATTGTAGATTAAATATGCGAAGATAATGAAGTAAATCAACTTGTTCAAGCATAATAATTGTATAACGTCTATGAATTAAATTTAATGTATGTATGTATGTATTTGCTATCGTTGTAATTTGCCAAAAATAAAGATCTTGTTTAAACAAACTCATATTAAACTATTTAAATTTTACGCTTTAATTGTACAATTTTATATTTCATATGCATCTGATATTTGATTGTGGGATTTGATTGTCGGGATTGAAGTAATTTCCAA